TATGTGTGTGTGTGTGTGTGTGTATGTATGCATGTAGTGTATATATATATATATATATATATATAAGTATGTGTATGTTTGTATGTATGGAGGTATATATGTATGTCTGTATGTATCTGTGTATATCTGTATATATATATATGTGTGTGTGTGTCTGTGTCTGTGTCTGTGTCTGTGTCTGTCTGTCTGTGTCTGTCTGTCTGTCTGTCTGTCTGTCTGTCCTCTTATGTATATGTATATGTAAATGTAAATGTTGTATTTGTAATTACATATATATATATATATATTGTATTTGTAATTGTAATTGTAGTTGTAGTTGTATGTTTATCTATAGATACAAGTATATTCGTTATATATTCATAGTTTATATGTATTGTTCATATGTGTATATTTTATTGTATGCATGCTTTAATATAACCTGGTCAATTAGAATGCGGGTACGTATTTGTATATATTCTCTCAAGATTTGTCCTTTTTTTTCAACAGTGCATAAAGTTTACTGACTTATTCATCTGTATCTGCTGATCAGGGACGCAGTCGAAGAAAAATCTGGCAATCAAGCCATTGGCAGTGGCACGGAAAATGATAGCTGAGGAAGCTGGTGGTGTGCGTTCGCTATGGAAGGGTACGAATGTAAACATATTAAGGAGCATTGTGGCCAATTCGGTTGTCCTGACTACCAATTTCGCTCTCAAGGACATGCTGAAGGAGAATAAGGACAACGTTTTCGGGCTGAGTGGAGAAGGCTGGGTGGTATGTCGAACGTACTACTGGGTGATTGGATACAGAATGTTGCTGTATGGGTCGATATGTGTATTTATTTTGGTGGTTCTGGGAATTGTTCTTAGTACGTATTTATCCTGTTATTGTCAGGAACCCCTTCTCGGGTATGAGGTTTTTTATATTATAAGTGGCATTAACTATCAAAGAGGCGCTATTCATATACGGTGCGGTGTTCAATATGTGCTTTGTATTGATATTTTATACTGCCTGGCGGGGCTATTCATATCCTGCAAGGTGTGCATTGTCTATCTACATATGTTCTACCCTTAAGTAGGCACTTTTTATATCTGGTACAGTGGGTATGGTGTATAGAACATGCTTGGGTTTCCATACTGATGTGCATACTTTACTTTCTCACCGTTTCAAACCGAACATGGGCGGGCACGCACCCACGTGTGTGAAATTCTGTATATGTACACCCTGTGTTTTCTTATACTAGTACTAAATTGAGCCTTTTATCCCTATAGCTTGGTTGTATGCAAATCATCCATGTGGTCATTTCACTGTAAAGTATCTGATCCTCTATAACACCATCTCATTCCCCAGAGTGACACTGTGTGCAGTATGATAGCCGCCAGTGTCACCATCACCATTATGAATCCCATCGATGTGGTGCGCACCCGCCTGTACAACCAGTCCAACTGCTCCAAGGGCTTTACACAGACGGCCAAAGACATGCTTCTGCACGAAGGTCCCGGGGCGTTCTATAAGGGATGCGTGAGTCATTTCCTGCGCTTTGGGCCGCACACAATGCTCACTCTGGTATTCATTGGTGTGTGTCAACGGAATGCAAGAAAGCTGAAGGAGTACTGGGAAACTAAAGAATGGGAAAAACAGGTAAGTGGTGGAAAGTGACAGAGTGATGGATGCTAAAAATAGTGCCCAGATGAATATATTTTCGTGCACAAGTATCAAGTATCATCTAGTGTGTTTACATCTGTGTATTATAGCATCATCATAGGCAACCCGCCTATACTGTCTAAAGTGGATGACATATCTTGCGACACCTATACATGCTTGGACTTTATTTCTCGGAGCTTGTACATGCATACATTCGTACAATTACCTCAACTACAGCCTATTCCGTATCTTAACTTATCAACAGACTGGTCATAATATAACTATACAGTGGTTTACATAGATGTATTTGATTCATCAATTTGAACACTGCTAACAGAGTTACGAAAGAGAAAGTATTATGTATGTATT